TTTTTTGTGAAGAGTGAATTAGATTGAGCCATCAGATCTTCGATGTGTAACACTATACTGTAGTCTACTAATTGAAGTGTTTTTGCGTAGGGATTAAATAATCTCAGAAACTTAAAATCGCAAGAAAGGGAATTGTTCAGCATTTCGTTCTCTCTGTAATGGGCTGTTATTTATAATTTATATTTCAAATTAATCTTCTATCGTGTGGTCTAATACACCTTAGTTTTTATTTAAATATTATGCCGGTAATATACTTCCATTATTGAACAGTAGATGACCTCTGGAATATATTTTTTTTAAGACTATTAACAGGGTTTTGGTAGCTTAAAATGGGTACTTCGGTATGTAGGATAAATTATAAAATATGAATATATATTGTTGGGAGTCAATGGGAGTCACAAGTATTTATCTGTTGTTTTTGGTTGGCCACTGTTGTTTGGCCAAAGAACTTGAAGAGCTTTCACTGCTTGATCCTGGATCTAGGACTACTGCTTTCCAGTTTCCTACAGAAAACTTTGCAGCATCTGGTTTTCGGCCTCTCACGTTGTTGTTGTTATTTAGGCCTTAGAGATGTAAAGCCCTGAGGTCATCAACGACTATCTAATCTTCATTTCTTTTTTTTTTCTATTTTTTTCTTTGTTATTGTATATATATTATGAATGAGTCTCTTACATTTCAAGTACTAATGCCCTCAGTTGAGGCCAAATGTATGCTTAATAATAAAAAAAAATCTTTATTTCAATAATAAATTGTTATGGGAAAGAGAAAAATAAATAAATAAAATTATTGTTACAAAATTATTGGGTAATTCAGCCCATTTAATTTTATTTTAACGCAGGATTCTTCTCTTAAAATGGCCGAAGGGCTGAAACGTTGGTATAAAGAGGAAAAACTAAGATAGGACTAAGATGATTTACTAAAAAATATATAGTTTTAATGGTTATGTCGTTTCTCCGTTCCGCCTCCAATTAGGAAAAGAACGAATCCGCAAGAAAAAGTCACCCCGGCATCTTTTACTTTTACTTCTCTGAAGAAATCTACAGAAGACCTACTTCTGTATTGAGAAACGACTTTGCGAAATTACTTACCAGAACATTTAGAGAGAGAAAAAAAAGAAAAGAAATAGGAAAGAAATATTCTGAAATCGGACAAAAATACTTTCTAATGTTCAAATAAAAAATAAGTTAAAACATGAGTATAGAAGTTCTTCTAATGAGATTTAACAGTGGCTGAGGTGGACATTGGCTACCGGTCTGGCGAGTGTTGTCGTGTATTACAGCCGGTTCGACCTGTAGTTCAGGTGTAGCAATAATGTACCTGCTTTTTGCCAATATTGTCCTGGGCATTGAGGAAAAAATAACATATTTTTGGCTTATGCGCATGCTCATAATTCATTTCATTCATTTTATTTTATTTATTAACCAAACAAAAATGTAGAACGTTAGATTAAATGTGCAATCTGCAAATTTCTTTGCAATGAGCAACTTTTTCGGCAGCTTTACAGCTTCCCATCACGTCCGGGATATAAATTAGATCAGCAGGTCTCTTGGACAACGCCTACGTAATCGTCGTAGTGGGCTGTACGGGTTTCTTGTACGATGAAAGATTTCTGTCAGGGGATTCCTGTTGTACGTCAGTCTTTAGTGAAAGTTATTGTAGTTTTCTTTTGCAGTATCTAAAATTGCAGGTACGTTTAAGTCTTTATCTAGTGTACCATTTGCGACATAAAACGGTGCGTCAAATATCCTTCGCAACACTTTTGACTGAAAGGGCTGAACTTTTTTAATGTTAGAAGTTTTAGCAGAACCCCACAGTTCTATGCCGTAAGCCCAAATAGGTTTAAGTAAAACTTTATAAATGATTAGTTTGTTAGTTAATGATAATTTTGATCGTCGGTCAAGTAATCTGGATAAAAGACCGTATCGTCTGTTTAATTCTATTTGTTTTTGTCTGATGTGAGTCCTCCAAATAAGTCTTTTTTCCAGGTAAAAACCTAAATACCTAATTACATCTGATGTTGGGATTTTAATGTCATTAAAATATATTTCAGCTGAAGGTTTATGGTTAAGAGTGAATTCACTAGATGCACACTTTTTTTTTCATTCATCTTAATTTTCTATCTTGTGGCCCAATTTGCAAAAAGTTTTTTTAAATTTAATTATTAAATATATCTACTAAAACCCATATGTACATAGGCTTCACAGATTTTTTATTAAGCAAAAAAGACTCACATACAAAAACTAAAATCATTTCAATCCAAAATTTTAACTCTAATAACAACAGCTCCATGGTGCGTAAACAACAATACTTTACATACCGAATACACTTTACTAGGTGCTAGACCTATAATCAACATAACTATAATTGACATGACCATCAGGTGGTGACTGAAAAGGAACTGTATGAGGGATCTCGTTTTCTTAATTGAGGAAGAAAATATTAACCGGGAAGGGATGCTGCTGGGTACTACTCTTCCTCATGTCTTACATGCGATTTTCCAAATTCAGAACAGCTAATCTTGTTTTTGTCAACCAACTGACAAGCGTGGATTTAGATCGGAAGAGAAAATATAAATAAATAACAAATTGTAGATATATAAAACCTAATCCTATTAGAATGTTGTTGTAAGATAAAAAAAATATATATACATAGTCTACAAATAAAAATCAGAAATCAACTTTTATCCTGCTAATCATCTCCGAAACAGAAAAAGATAATTTTTTTTCTCTGTCTGAAAAAATCCTGAAATATTTAGGATATTCCTTAGTAGTTATCTGCTTGCAGCTCTACAGCACTTTTGTTTATTCGATTTTTGATCTTCTTAGTAGTCTATTGCCTACTATTGGAACATTCATTGTTCTGTAGAGGCAAATTGATAGATTGCTCCTAGCTACATTTCCTGCCTATCTTAACTTCCGGCCTTTATATCATCAGATATTGATTGACTAGTTTCCTGTAAGCAGTTCATGATTGATACTCCGTGATCCCAGATTGCTCCGGTTATTTTTCGGATGATTTTTGTCTCAAATTTTTCAATACTTCTTTCTAGGGTGGTCGTTAATGTCTAGCCTCATGTTAGAACTGGCGTTATCACAGCCTTTTCCATAAATTTGATATTTATTAAGATTTCTCCAGACAACATTATATCTGAGAAAAAACAAGCAAATCTCATATCGAAAGATTTTAAAAAAATCTCAATTTGTACCAGAATATCACCACTTTATAACTGTAATAAAAGAATATTTGGTCTATTTTTATATGATATTGTTTTTATCTAACTTTGGAGTGCAGAAATGTTTTACATTCTCACTGCTACCGGCTATGGAAAATATTTAAATAGTTCAAAATTACAAAAGTTCAGTTTTAAACAGATATATCTCTTACTAAAAAAAAAGAAAAAGAAAAAAAGGAAGTATATTCGGACTTATTTTATTTTTGTTTACATACATCCAGCATCCTGTGAATAATAAATAAACAAATTTATATGAAATCATTTAAAAGATAATTAATCTCGCCTAGAAAAATTATCGGAACCGAATCAGAATTAGCTAACATAAGACACAGTCGGGTAAAGTCATAAAGAACACCTTTTTTGATTTAGATATGTAGAATTATCCAAATGAATGCAAAAAATATATAAAACAACGATTGACCAGGTTTTTTATTAGATACTTAGGAAATAAATTTCAATCAAAATATTCATCACATATTTTAGTTATCATAAACCTTTTTTTTTTTTTTTTTCATTTTGAGAGTACCATACAAATGACGAGATCAGTCAGAGCAAAGTTTACGGGAGTGATTCACACATAATTATAATTGTACATACTGTAAATGTTGTTACTTTATGGATAAAAAAAAAAATTATATTTCACAATATTAATTCTGCCTAGTTGATGTTTTCACTTCAACTAGGATAAAATGTAGCATTAAAAAATCAAATAATAAAGACTGTTTGGATTAAAATATCTCATAATTTAAATTTCGTGTAGTATTCAAAAACCAATTTCCAGCAATCAATATAGGTATTTTTTGTTATTAGTCACAAAAATAAGAAATAAAAAATTAGAACCGTAATTTAAGAAATAGAATAGTAAACTATAAAACAGATACAAAACACCTGGGTACACACTATTCGGACATAATATCCAATATTGAAATTCAAAAAACAACAATAGCCAAAAAAAAATACAACAAGCAGCCATAATAAGAAATAAAAGGACAAGTACAAAGTACAATAATGATATTGAAGATAGCCAGATGTAGGTTAGTGTAACAATGAATAAAAAAAAGGATGTGTAACACCAAATAAATATATAATGAACGTGACAAATATTTAATTTTTTTACAAATGGTGCCACATCAAAAAAAGCAAGTTTCAGTGAATATAAGAATTGATGATGGGAAAATTGTCCGATTGTTGGAGGCGATAAATGTGAATAAAGGGATTTTAAGGAAATTGGAAGTATTATTGCCATAATTGTAAAAACATTTATAAACGTAGTCTTCCTAAAAAAAGAAAAATAAGAAGATAAAAAATTAAGTATTTAGTTCGAAAACTTACTGATCCCGCCTAGTAAATGTTTTCACTTCTATCGTATGGTCTGAAGCACACATGGTAGTTTTTTTGTTTTTCTTTTTTTAAACAATATTTTAGTATAGTTTCAGAACCCTTCAGAGTTCTTATCATTTCGTCCTGTTAATAATAATTATTTTTTTGTATCGTGGTTACAATTATCAATTGTGCCTGAGGACACGAGTCGCTCCACTGTACCGCCATAGTCCACACACTGGGACTGTCCCACGCTTTAACATGCGTTATTGTCCAGCCATTGCGTCATAGATCTGGGGGGTCAATTATGACGTCATGGTGACGCAGCTTGTCGGTTGACCAACTGCCGCCAAAGCGAATGTCCAAACCATACAAAGCCCACAAACTATGTTGATATCGCTTTTACAAAATTTCAGACACGTTGATTCAACTGTTGATTTTGTTGCAGATAACGACAACGACCCGAACAGAGCGCCTCCATGCGACCCAGCAGTCTGCGTACTCCCTGACTGCTTCTGCTCAGAGGATGGAACAGGCATCCCGAACGACCTGCCCGCCAAAGACATTCCGCAGATGATAACCATCACCTTCGACGATGCCATCAACAACAACAACATCGAGCTGTACAAAGAGATCTTCAGTAGTAAAAGGAAGAACCCCAATGGCTGCGACATCAAGGCCACCTTCTTCGTGTCCCACAAGTACACCAACTACTCTGCTGTTCAAGAAACCCATAGGAAAGGACACGAGATCGCCGTGCATTCCATTACGTAAGTATTTTATTTTTGATATAATTTTCTTATATAAGATTTTTCCTTCATTTTCGTTTTTTAAAATTCCAACTGGTCACTATTTCGAAACAATCCATTCATCTTCATGAGTATTTATCTGAAACAAACATACAATCACTATCAAAACCCGTTATATATTTTCTATTTCGAAATAGTACTGACTGAAAATAGTGTACTCAATTTTTCCAAATCAAGATTTAAAGTTACACAACCACTGCTCCAACACTTACAAGACAAACGCTCTAAACTTTCAATTAATTACAAAAGACTCATCTACTTAACCATAATAAGACCTATATGGACACACGGAGTTAAGCTTTGGGGTTCTACTAAACCATTGAATTCCTATCTTATCCAATCCTTACAATCCAAAATCCCATATTTTGTCACAAATAAAACTATTCATAAAGACCTTAATGTACCATATGCCACTGATTTAGCCCGAGGCAGATAAGTATCCTTTCATGATAAACTCTAGCCTTGCTTCTTCCTCGATTCCTGATAATCCCCCTAGGCGTCTGAAAAGAAGAAGGCCTCTTGATCTTCTCACCTAGAATTAAATCCGGAGTGCTACCTCTGTGCAGTATCTCTTCAAGTCTGTTCATGTCATTATTTCTAATGTGTGCATTTTTACTGGTTGTATTGTTTATGCAGTTGTAAATTTCATTAAATAAATAAATAAAAAAACTAAATACACACACTTACCTAATCAAACCCATATGGACATACACCTCACAGATGTGGGGTTCAGCAAAAAATACGCTCTTAAAAAAATTAAAATCAAATCAATCCAAAATTTTAGGAGTAAAAACAGAGCTTCTTGACACATAAACAACAAAACTTTATTTAGACATATATATATATATATATATATATATCGAGAGAGAGAGAGAGAGAGAGAGAGAGAGAGAGAGAGAGAGAGAGAGAGAGAGAGAGAGAGAGAGAGAGAGTGAGAGTGAGAGAGAGAGAACAAACTATTATAATACTTGCTCTTACAAATCGATTAATCATTTGACTATCGGTTTATCAAATTTGACTAAGTCGACCTATTATATTATTTTTGCATATATTTTTCAAATAACTTTTTGATATTTTTTAGCCTGTAATTATAAATTATTTTTAAAATATTACAATTATTGAAACTAAAATATTAAGGAGCCTGAATACACTAAACCTGCATTACTGTACTGTTATGAGTAATAGTATGTAAAGGGGGAACTAAAGGAAATTTATAAAATTTAACATAAAATAAATCTTTTTTGTCCTCCGAATTTAACATTGTATTAATAAAGCCTATATTTGCAATAAGGATGACAAAAAATTATGTATTTAAACTTAAATTCATTATATCAATAGCGCTTAATGTTTAAGGAAGACAAATTTGTATCTTAAACATTAAACCACTGTCTAAAATTTATTATAAAATAAAATAGTGAATTGTTGGATTAGCCCTTGTTGCAGAACATCTAATAAATGTTTACTGGCACGTTCCATTATACAACGAATATAATATAATATAATATAAGTCTTGGTTTAAACGTGACCAGCGTGGCCGAGCGGGCTAACGTGTGTTCACAGCACTACGGGTTACCCGACAATCACAGAATAAAATAAGTACACGAGTTCACGTCCCGGTGCCAGTGGGGTCTTTAACTCTGGCATTAATCCCCCGCCCTCGGCTCCTGGCTCTGAAAAAACCCGTATAGCCTAAAAGGCGAGAAAGGAGAGAACGAAAAAAATATATATTTGACCACAATGCTATCAGACAATATACGTTTAGAAAAAAAAATAAACCTACAATAATAGATACCAATCCTTGATTGGTATGCATGGTCCTTATTCTAACTTTATCTGAACATTTCGTTAAAAAAGGATACTTTTATGAAGCTCAATGAAAAAAGACTCGTTTAAGCCAATTTCATTGCAGAGATGTTTCTACAAAACAATAATATTATTATAAATGAAACAATGCCGTTAACTCCTTCACTTACTCGATATTCAGTCGATATTCAAACATGTTTTACCATCAATGTTTAAGAGAAGAATAAAGACCAAATTGGGTCACTGAAAGGAGTCGTTTTTCATTGAGTTTAATAAAAGTATTCCTTTTTGACAAAACTTTTAAATTAGAGTTAGATGACTATGCATACTCCTTTAATCTTCACTTTCATTATAGCTTAAATATATAAACGAAAATAATGATAAGAGAGATAGCTAAAGCTGGCTTGTGCTTTTATACGAGGAAGTTACTAAATAGAAGATGGATATGAGACCTCATACGTCAATTATGTGACATCCCTCATATCTGACGTGTTGTAATAATCTCATAATACTATTTGCTAATTATCGCTATATAAACCTTTCAGTTGACAGAATGACTAATTCCAATTTTAACATTTTTGAGTAAAGACATTTGATCTAGAGTAGGTGATTGCAGTGTTGAAATATAGTTGTGAATGAAGGTGTAAAGATTCCCACTAGAAACATCACTAAGATTAATAATAAACAATGTTGAAATTGGAGTTAGTCATTCTTTCAACTGAAAGGCTCATATAAAAAAAGCTTGAGACATTTGCTGAAAACACTGCTACGTAAAAAGTATAACCGTATATCAAAAAACTATTTTACAAATCGGCAGTCGAATCTCAAGTAGATCTCAATATAATTAATCTTATTTTATATACTAGGGGAGCAGGATAGCTCAGTGGGTGAGCACTGACTTCCAGAGCACAAAGTCCTGGGTTCGAATCCGGCTAATGACGAGTAATTTTTCATTAGCCGTGGATTGACCCTGGGATCGGGAGACCCTCCTGGGGCACACTTAGCCTCTATAAAGGGGGAAAACCTGGCGGTTGAGTGTGATATCGGCCCCATCACCTCCCTGCACAACCGTTGGCCTTATAACAGTACTTCCTCATATAGTACTGCACCCAAGACCCATTAGACTTATTAAAAATAAAATAGAAAAGAAGTAATCAAAATTTTAAGGAAAGCAGAATTTAATATAAAGATAGCAGAATAGCTCATTGGGTAAAGCATTGACTTCCTATGTCGAAGGTCTCTAACTAGAGTCCAGCTATGGAAAGTACTTATTTATTCTATTATATCAGCTGCAATCACCTCCGTCGATAACTTTTTACCTTGTAACAGTACTTCCTTACAGAGTAATGTATTCAAGACTCTTCATGGGGTGTAGTGGTACAGGTGTACCTATTTTATTTAAAATTTGTTTGTAGTATATTTCATCTGCTTGAAAATCATTTTTAAAATGGCATCAACAAATATAATTTATAAATCTTAAGATATTTCCTCAGTAAAATTGAACCATTGTTTGTATGAATTTTCATTGTCGTTCTTGAGGCCTTCTGTCATCACTTTAAATACTTCCGGTAGTTTATGGCACCCTATATATATAGGGTAGATATATATATCAGCTATCTAGCAATTGCATCCTTCTTGAGAGCAATATGGGCCCCTCGCCATTGCACGGCTTGGAATTTCCTACATCCCCGGGTGGTTGAAGGTCGTTGCATTGTGGTCGTTTATGAAAGTCACAACTAGGACACGGCAGAACAATGCTTCACCGCAGTCTCCTTTCTAGCTCTTAACACAATCATGAGTGTATACTTCGTCCAGAAACAAAACCAGGAGATACGTATCCTGTGTCAAAAGTATCAGAAGTGCTTTACTCGATGGATGCTTAAGAAATATCCTGCGACGTTAGATATTTTTCTATCGCAACTTCCGACGTCCTTTTTAATTGTCTAAAATTATTTCGTGGCTAAAATGGTCAAACACTAGCTATTTCAAATTTTATATCTTTCAACCACCAAATGAGCAAAATTAAATTTAAAAAAAATGCAAATTGGTTCCTATGACTTCAAGTATATCAAGCAAATTTGATTTTTAAATATTATTTATTTTCGCAAAAACAATCGACACAGAAACATGATTTAAAGCCAAAAACGAGTTTTAAAAGACAAAATGTGCACTAAATGAAATATTTTTCGTCCTTTCTTCCTCTACTACCAGTGATTCGTTGTTATTCCTTCTTCTTTTTTTTTTTTGATTTTTTTTTTTGCAAATCTTGAAGATGTTTATTGTAGGATAAAACAGGGAAAACAGGTTTCAGATTGAAAAATATCAAACGTTGTATTAAAACATAAATAGGAAATAAAGCAGGTAAATTTTGATTAGTAAGTCTACAAATTATTTACATGATAACTTATCTTTTACATTTTATACTTGAAGATACATGGATTTGAAAATTATTTTTGTCCCGTTACTTATCTTTCTTATTCTTTGAACTACCGAGCTCTTTTCATGCAAATTTAAAGTTTTTATTAAATATTACAATAAAAAATATTAAATAAAAATTATATACGATTTTTTTTTATATTACATATAATAATAACGTGGAACAGATTCCCTTTTTATCGAATGATTAACATCCGTCTGAAACTTCGAAAATAGTTTCATCTCATCGTAACCTACAACTATTTTATTTACGGAAACTCTTGGAATTGGGGCGTTTTCAATTTGGAGGGGAACAAAATTTGTTTATTTAATCAGCTACTAAAAACTCGTAAATTCTCATTTACTTTCTTCTTGGGTCATATGATAATTTGATAACAAAATCGAGAAAAAAGGTGGCCTTCAATAATATTGAGCCGTTTGGCGTTACCTGCACGCCCACATTTTCAAAATAACGAGGTTATACAGTACAAACGGCCCAATATGTTTGTAGGCCACTTTTTTCTCGATTTTTGCGATCAAATTATCCAACGATCAAACTAAAAAGTCAATGGGTATTTACTAGTTTTCAGTACCTAATTACTATTTTTACAAAATCAGAGTCATCTTGGAATTTTTTTTAATCAATGTAAAAAATTAATGAAAAAATCCTTTTACATATTTCGTCATTAAAATATACCCTACAATTGAATAATATTTTTATTGTGAAATTTATACAAAAAAGTGAAAGTTTTTAATTTTTTTTTTTTTAGTCATTGACTTAAGAACTTTTCAAAAATTCTTAATTCTATGAACATATTAAATTTAAATTTAATTTGGCACTATCCTCTGGAGCTGGTAGAGAAGGCAAGGAGACTCAAAACTACTCGTTGCAATGAAAGTGACCTCACGCCGATCTCCAACCGGTCTTAATAAATAAACCTGTTAACACTTTCTACTCCCAACTCTTGCCCACGGGTTCCTCTCATCTCCACAAAATCAATATTAAAAGAAAAAATATATTTTTGTGGCAATTTTTTTTTTAATATTATTTTTCTAGGAATATGTATGATTTTACTCTTTAATTAATAATTAATAGAATTTAAATAGAAAAAAAAAGACTGTTAGAAAAATAACTGCAAAAAGAAATATGAATATTTTTTTTATTCTGTCAAAATGGATCGCTTTTAACGGTCCATGTACTGTTTGTTAAATTAGTTTTGAATTATCTATACATAAATTAAAATGTTCATACGAGTTAACATTTTTTTTAAATGTTGTATTTATATAAAATATATGAATTTTTTTGGATTATTTTACCAAAGTATTAATTTTTTAAAAATAAAAAATTGGCCTACACCTCTCAACAAACTGTTGGTAATCAACAGATTGAAAATAATCTCTTTTTCTTTTTATGTCACTTATAAATCAAATTTAATATTAAAATATTTGGACTTGTACTTGTAAAAATTAGAAATGTTCAACAATGCTAAAATTCTTTAAAAATAAAGATTGTTCTTATTATAATTTCATAAAACATCTTCAAATAGATTATACCGTAAATTATAAATAATTCACTACATAAGTGAGTTGGCGTCACAGAGTTAGGAATTCGTTGCAAAATCTTGGCCGAAGAGATGTTGGCGCAGCCCTAGCGGCTCTGAACTGAACCATTTCTTAGCTGTTGATATTGCAGCACCATCTGCATTAGAAAGGCTGAACACTTGCTAAATAAATTGCCCATCATATTATTTAAAATGTCACAAATGTATCCCTAAAGCACAGAATTCAAACGTAACAGCTGTGTTTACATTCCAGAATATCATTCAGGTTTTATATATTTAAAAAAAATTGATAATTTAGAATGTTATTCCACCCTTTTTTTATTAATTTTGTTTTGATAGATTTTCCAAACCATTCTACTGACGAACAGACTTAGATGGCCAAAGAATAAAAAAAAAAAAATTAACAATTAACAACATACATACATATACAGTCGACTCTCAATTCGAACTCCTTCTATAATTCGAGAGGAGAGAACGTTCTATAATTCGAAATTAGTCCGCTTCCTCTCTTTATAATTCGAAATTTTCCTAGTTATATTTTTACATGAGGCTATTTATATATAAAATTTATACTCATATGTGCTCATACATATTTTCAAAAATATAATAAAAACTATTAATAATTCGAATTTTTTTCTTTGTTCTTGATAACTCTATAAGTTCAATAATTCTAATTTTTCTTGTAGTCCTTTGGATTTAGAATTATCGAGAATCAACTGTAAATATAAATACATGTGAATACATAAATGTGTGTATGAGTGAAAAAACCTTTATTAACATTTTTTACAAAGCTATTATAAAAATAAATAAATAACAGTAATTCATGTTAATAATGGGCAATACCTTTATATATTATTTCACAAAGGTCTTTCTTTTTCGGTACACCATATCTTCATTAATTCATCAAGTACAATAATTGTACTATTATTTTGAAGGTTATTTATCCCTAGATATGTCAGTTATGAAAAAATAGAAAAATTATTTGTACTTTTTCTCAAAAAGTATTCAATTCATAGTTTTGAAATCTTATTTAATTCCATACAAAACGTAAATAAAAAAAACTATTAAAATTCGACCACCATTAGCAAAGATATAGCAAATTGGATTTTTTATAGGTATTTAAGTATATTATTTTCAAAAATAAACCATTCTTATTAACTGGAAAAAAAAATGAAAAGGATGAAAAATAGTCAGGATATGCAGTCAATAATCGTAGTTATTAAGCTTGCCAATGTTTCGACCTTACCATGTGGGCCATCATCAGGCCAGTAAATTTAATTCTTGTCTTGCCAAGGAACCGTTGCTCTGATGACCTGACTATTCTTCATCCTTACAATTTTAACTGTTAACAGTATCTCCATCTCGAAAAAAAAAATTAATTTTTTCCTCTTAAAATCTTTTGCATTTATTCATTTCCATATTACATTACCATATGCTTTATTATTTTTTAAAATATATTTCGACATTTACTTATTGTGTAATGTATTGTTATAGCCACAACGACGACGAACAGTTCTGGTCAAACGCCACCGTTGACGACTGGGCCAAAGAGATGGCTGGTATGAGGGTCATCGTCGAGAAGTACGCCAACATCACCGACAACAGCGTTGTAGGAGTACGAGCTCCCTACCTCAGGGTTGGTGGCAACAACCAGTTCACCATGATGGAAGAACAAGCCTTCCTCTACGACTCGACCATCACCGCGCCACTCTCCAACCCTCCACTATGGCCTTACACCATGTACTTCAGGATGCCACATAGGTGCCACGGAAACCTCCAGCACTGTCCGACGAGGAGTCACGCCGTATGGGAGATGGTAATGAACGAGCTCGATCGTCGAGAGGATCCTAATTTCGACGAGTATCTCCCAGGTTGCGCTATGGTAGACTCTTGTTCTAATATCCTCACAGGAGACCAATTTTATAACTTCCTCAACCATAATTTCGACAGGCATTACGATCAGAACAGAGCACCCATCGGGTTGTATTTCCACGCAGCTTGGCTCAAGAACAACCCAGAGTTCTTGGATGCTTTCTTGTATTGGATCGATGAGATCCTGGAGAAGTACAACGACGTTTACTTCGTCACTATGACTCAGGTCATCCAGTGGATCCAGAACCCGAGGACGATCTCAGAGGCCAAGAACTTCGAGCCATGGAGGGAGAAGTGCGTGGTGGACGGACCCCCCGCCTGTTGGGTACCACACTCCTGCAAGCTGACCAGCAAGGAGGTTCCCGGAGAGACCATCAACCTGCAGACTTGCGTCAGGTGTCCGAACAATTACCCATGGGTCAACGACCCCACAGGGGACGGTTTCTACTGAAACTTGCCGGAGGATCTCAATCAAAGCCAATCCCGGAGGTCGCCGGGTCATGACTGACATAAACAGCGGGAGATACTCCCCGGCCCAGAAGACACGGAGGGTCAGGGCCCCATCGTAATATAATCAATGCCAGCGATTACATCCAATTATTTTATTATATAATTAATTATACACAACGAACAGACACAAATTATTGTAAAAAACTTATAAATATTGTAAGAAACCCCTCATTTCCTCTCCTCTCCAGCCCTTGTACACTCAATACGTGTAATGTATGCAATATTATAACATTATCCTCACGATATATAAATTGTAATGCTATATTAAGTTGAAATACATTATTCTCAACTTAGTTATCAAAGTCCTCAATTTATTTAAATTATAGTCAACTATTGTTCTATTAGACTTTCAATTGTTTGTAAATATTTAATAAAAAACATTATAAAATTTGTTGGTTTATTATTAATAAATTTATTAATAGTACGTTACAAAATCTATACACCTTTGTTAGTTCTTTATTCATGAGATTTTCCTTACTATTTACCAAACCATACAGATGCATCTCCCTCTTTCCTTAATAGGAAACAAAAGTTTTTCGATAATATATATATATGTATAAAATCCGGAGACCGGCATGGTTAAAGTATGTTATCACCAGTATTGTGATTCTCATTTTCTATTACAAATGAAATTGAAAAAATTAAATTTTAATATTAAATTAAAACAATTATCTTTTTTCAGTACTTCATGAATAATAATTTTCCGAATCTTAATTTGATAGAGTCGTATACTTCTTTGGTAATAATTTCCCAAAAAATTTAAATGAAATATGATAAATTGAATATTTACTGACAGGACGACCATTATCTGAGCAAAACAATACACTTGCTACCTCCTACTCAATGTATCTTGTCACTACTGTTCGTGCAAAAGGTCGTATGTGAAAATTGAGTTTTCAAGAGACAACAAAAACCGAATATTTCTTTTTGATTTATTAGTAGAATTTCATATTTTATTGTTCTCTGCTATATTCCATAGTAGAAGACTAATTATAGCAGTTGCTAACTACGAAATGTCACCTTCAGCATAAATAGAATGAGAATGTAAAATTGTTACATAGGATCTATTGTTCTCACATTAGCAATTTACATTTTTTTATCAATCATTATTAAAATATAGATTAAGGTTTTATAAAATATTCCTATAGTGCATTTTTAATTAATAAAACTTTTCGTGTCTTATTTTTTATGGGATAATTAATAATTCGGATAATGATTAAATTATTCAAGAAAAAAATTGTTGCATTCTCCATCTCTTTGAATAATAATATCCATGAAAAAGGTTTAAATAAATCAAAATATTTATGTCTAAACGTGATAAATATATTTTTTCTAGAATCAGCTCATGAAGACCCTTTAAGATCATTTGGCCTCCTCATAATTTGAAACATTTAAAAAATATATATAATTAAATTTGATGTAAAATTCAATATATAAATATACAGGATGTCCTGTAAGAAGATGAAAATTTTTTTAGGAGTGATAGCAAACTTCAAGAGCTACAAAAAAGTTCATATTAACAATGGGCTAATTTTCAGCAAAAAAGTAGCAAATCCAAGTTTTGTGTTTTTTTAATGTAAGTCTGTTTTTTATTGAATCGAAAGCAATAACTAAAGAAATATTTAATTTAATTTAGTAATAATTGCTTCATTGTAAACTAGATAAAATTTACTATAAACAAAAATAGAGTTTATCATTGTTAAAACCATTTACAGAGCACTTTTGAGCAGCTAAACTAAGCTAAGTTCTGTTTTTAGAAAAATCGCAAATTATTCAATTTTTTTTTTTATCATCATCAAACTATACTACAGATACCCCACTTCTAGAAAAACTTCCTCATGTAATTAGCTCCAAGTCCATACTAATTAAATGATTTATTAGAGAAAAAAAACTGAGATTTACAGCAAGGTATGTAGAAACATTATGTGAATTTTCATCTGGTCATCTAATAGTGTAATTGTGTTTTCAGCGAAAATGGCTATAATTAACTGTTGCAAAACTTTTATTACTTATTTTTCCATGATCTGGGATGTATTATAATAAACTTAATTGCCTAAAACACTCCTTATTGATATAAAAATAAAATGTTAATAATAATAATTTTTCAAAAAGTTTTCATCGAAAGCAGTAATGGAAACTGTGTTTTCTACCATGGAAATTGATCCGTATTTATAAGTGACAAACTTAATTTATATAGTCCTGAAATTTACGTTTAAATTTTGTATAATTACTTATTATTTGCTGGAATTATATTGGAATTTTTACGAAAATGTAAATATTAGAATTAGGAACATTTAAGCAGCCACTTATAAACAAAGATCAATATCTATAATAGAAATCTTGGTAAAAAGCTTGATTATCACTTTAGATAATAAATATTCGAAAAAACAATATTTTTAAATAAAAATTATATTTAGGCAATTTATTATAAAAGATACCAAATCATTAAAAATAAATAGAAGCTTAACTGCAGCTAACTATAGTCATTTTTGTTGAAACAGGAAAAATATAAAATACTTTTTTTACACAACTTGAGGTGAATCTCAATTTTTTTACCTTATAAACCTAATAAATTAATATAAAATCAATTTAATTAATTGAACGAAGAAGTTTTCTTAAAAGTTGGGTATCGGTAGGAGATACAGTTGGAGGATGATGAAAAAAAAAAAAAAAGTTAAAAGTAAACAGATTGTGATAAAAGATAAGAAATGAGTGTATAACAAACTAGTAGAGATTACATTTGATAACTGTAGTTTAACAGATAAAGAAAATGAGTGTTGACGAATAAATAAATTGAAAAATGAATAATATTTAATGATATAGTAAAGGTAATATAAGAATTAGATAACATAATAATATATCAGTGGATAACAGGCTGATTGAGGTTACACTTATAACCTAAGAGGTTACCTGATACATGTAGGTAAACAGACAACGAGACTAAAAGTTAACAAAGTAAGAAATTGAAAAATTAATAATATAACATGAGTTGTAATGTCGTCAGGATATATTTATTAAATATATATAACTCAATAAGAAAAAACAAACTTTTAGAAGAGAAATTTAGAATATAAGTATAAATGTAAACAAGGTTATGATGAAGGAAAAAAAAATATAGTCTATATAAGCGACAATTGACATTCAGTTTTTTGAAAGCGGTAATGGAAAAGTATTATACATGAAGAGTATAATATGGCATATAGTTGAAAGATATACCACCACTGTTTATAAAAAAAACTGAATGTCAATTGTCATTTATATATACTATAATTCTTTTTAATTTATTTTTTTCCAAATAAAAATGTTTTTTTGACTCTGCTAATGATGAATGCAAATATCAGTTGCGATAATTTGAGAGTTTGATAATTATCTGGCAATTTCAGTAAAGAAAGTTATACCAAAAACGATCAAAAAATAATTCCGACGTTTATCTAAATAAATTTATACATAATATAATTTACTCTTTCTCGTCATAGAAAACTGGAGGAAAAGTATAGAAACAAAAAAACTGAAAGAAAAAAATGCGAAGGAAAATATTGAAGATAAATTCAAACAATTTCGTGACTCATAATTGATACTGAGGTGTTTTTTTAAACTCACCATGTATTTGGTTTTATCTTCATTTAGTGGTAGGTTGAATTGCTACTCTTCTCTTACTGCTATGTCCTCTTGATAATAATATAGATAAAAGATATTTATAATTGATTCTGTCAATAACCTTATACAATAAATTTTCACTTTTACAACATATTACATGCAAAACATATTTTATTTATAATAAAAAAAACAAAATAACAATAATAATAAAGGTTGGTCAGTTTTTTCAAATATCTTGCTAAAATTGAAAGTTTCCCAGGATTGTTGATGTTTTTATGCCTTTCCCGACCACTGTGCGACGTTACGTTAAGATACAATTTCGAATAATAGCTCATTACAAAGAGTATGAAATGATGAACGTTTCGCTACCTAACAATATGCAGGTCTGTTTTTTAGTTTCTGAGATATTTTCAACGCTATGCGAAAACACTTCAATTAGTCGACTCTAGCCCCGAGTGTTACACATCCGAGATCTGACGGCTCAATCTAATTCACTCTCCACAAAAAAAAAGTGCAAAGCGTCCCTAAAGAAGAATCCTAATTTTCTTTCACATCTTCTCAAAATTAATACACAAGAAAGAGTTATATAAGAATTATTAAATTAAATAGAATTCACACGCAATTGAGGAAGTACCTGCCAAAAAAATAGGTCACTTGTTCCTTGTCGCTGGAGAAGAAAAACTAAATCGTTCTTAATCTTCCTTTTCTGCAACATAATTATGTTGAATAATAATCGTTAACAAGAGAGACCTTTCTACATCTTTTGCAAAATATCGTTTATAATTGTTTAAGTAGACTCTTGAGGGAGTAGTACATAAATGAATTATATAATATGAATGACTGGATATAAGAATAAAACACTAGATGAATGGCATTTGCGAAAGAATATTCGGTTGAGGACGTGCTCGTAGAAATGTCATAGGTAAGCAACCATTGGCCAATCTCCACGTCACCTCTTACACTTTTCTTCATTTTGTGAATATTAATAAGACTCCATATTGGCTCGGGTTTGACCTTATAGAATCTATCTCTGCCTCCATAATATTTAAATATATAATACTAGGGTGATACCCTCTGTCAGCCCAACGACGGACTCCGATTTTATAAATTATACAACTGTTTATTTAATTGTACTATTCGTTGCTCAAATTGTACAACTGTACTTTACATGAATTTGCTATTCATGTTTTTTTGTAAAGAGTGTACATTGTGATAGTCTGCTTTAATTGTAAATATTGTAACCGAGATTAAGGAAGCAGTGTAAAAAACAAATATAACACTTCTCTCTTTTGTTTCCTGTGCCGGATTATTAATTCATATTTTACCATGTGCATGTGCTCTTACATCTTATATCTCTTGTATCTTGACTATCTTTTCTAGATGTTTAGATGTGGCATGCCATACTATTCTATAAAGAATAATTATCTTTTTTGTTATTTTTATTATATTTATTATCTTAAATATTTTCCTATTTATCTTTAATTGTATATAGTAATTATGTTTAAATTCTCTCTTTTTCCTTGTATTTTATTTTTTTTTATTGTACATAGTATTAGTTCTGTAAATATTTCTTTTTGTAAATAGATCTGTTAACCTTTTTTGCTGCTTTATAAAAATATCCAACCTAACCCCTTCTCACCTGAGGATGAATGGTAGGATAAATGATTAATCATGGCCAAATAATATTTAAGTAACTTATATTCTCTATAATTATCTCTTTAGAGATGAAAAGCTAGTAAAGCCAAGCACCCAACAAGTATAGATTCCGACAGAAAATTATAATTCATTAAAAATTGTTTTATTATCTTTTTATTTATCCTTTTTTTTGGTCATAATATTGT